CACCCGATATTATAGTATATGTCACGTATACTATAATATCGGGTGCACCCGGGTGGGGAATCGGAACACAGCTCTAAAGATCGTAAGCATGATGTAATAAGAAAGGTGTACCATTGCGCATAGCGGCGGCGGCACGATGAGCGGAGCCAATGAAATGTGGGTCCAAATGCACCCGCGCAATTCAAACGCGAAACAATAACATTGTATTTAAAATATTAGTTGCATATACTTAAAATGCAGATATTTGGATAATATTGTAATATATCTATCTCTATCAGTTCAATTTTTGACACGATACCTATACAGGATAATTCAAATATTGAACTGATTTTTGGACAATCGAACAAATAATTGTTTGATTTTTACTTATTCGGGCAATTCCTGACCAAAAAAATCTTTAATTTTATAAATCAAATTATTTAAATTTATCTTTATGTTTTAACACATTAATATGTATTATTATATCAAAGAGTATAAGTGAGCTTAGAGAAGTGAGTTTAGAAGCTTTACAAAAAAGATTTTACAATCCTATTTTCGTGCATATGTGTGTGTGCGAGATCGAGATTAGTTGCGTGATAGACGGAGCTGCAATCTTACATGACAAGGACAGACATAATCGTACTACCTTTGTCTCTTTCATGCGTGTGAGAGTAATATACATGTACGCACTAACATTATTGCAGTATCTTTTCTCTCTCTATCCTTAAATATTCTGCTCTCTCTTCTTTTATTAGCTTCTTGTATTCTCTGTTGTATGTAGATTCTTCTATCTTTTTTCTTCTTTCCGCTTTTTCTTCCTCTCTTATCTTCCCTATTATTCTTTGTACTATGTTTTCCTCCCCTTCTCTGCTTCCTTCCCTTATCTCATTACCATCTCCTTCCTCCTCTAATATTTTCCTCCTTATCCTCGCCCATTTTCCTTCTCTTCCTGCCCCCCACTCTTTCTTCCTCTCTTTCCAGCATTCTTCCACTAGTTTTTTCCCCGTTGTTCTTATCTTCTCTTCATACTTTAGTGCTCTTTTTAGCGCCTTCTCTTTAATTTTCACTAACTTTCCTTCCTCTACTACTATGTAATTCGGCGTTGTCCTTTCCAAACCTAGTGTCCATTTTACGTATTTTCTTTGAATTCCGTC